ATCCTTCCTCCTTCTTGACTCATCTTCAGACTTCAACCTCATAACTTGTATATGCAAGTCATTTTGGATTACATTATTCTGCACCGGCTTGAATTATCTCAAGCTGTTGCTGTGTTGTGCTTATCTATCAAAGCTTCCCCGCGTGTCTAGAGTGATCTCCGCTCTAGATACGCCTTTAGTGGTGTCTGCAGTCACCACAACCCCCCTTATTTTTAAGGAACTGTCAACACAGGTATGCACTCCCAGTTTCTTCAGGTTGTTGTGATGTTTGATCATTTGATTAACTTCATGAAAGCCATCCCCTTCTTTAGTGATACCTCCCGAGGTCCCGGTTTCCAGTTAGGATCTCAAACAGAACGATCCTACATATCCGTTCTCAGACCACAAATAGGGTCCTGAGAGCGGCTTAATTCTGTTACCTCTCTATCGCCTCTCACTGAGGCATCATCTTTTGAATGCTCCCGGCCGCATCTGACGATCTCATCCGCCAGCACAGCCGTTTGCCTGAAGACGATAATTCCTTCGCCCCGGACCAGAACCGGATCATACCAGAGCATGAACCAAGTGCGAAAGGGAAAAAGAAGAAGGGCAAGAAGAACAAGGTGGCCAGGGCTGTAACTGGAACCCCGCCGGATGATATGTACGTATCCACCGGTGATTGCTTGGTTTCTAATGAATGCGTGCCATTAACGCCAGATTGCATGGATAGCCTCCCACCATCTGCCCCACCGGCAGAGGATTCTCTCTCTTACCCAGATCCCGAACCCCTTATTGAGCATCATGTAAAACCACATATCACGTCACCTGTTCTGGATGTCCTCGATTCCTTTGATGAGCCAGCTGGTGACGATCTCACTAGCCGCACCGATACATGGGCGCAGTCGGTGCCGTACGGAAAGAGCCCTCCCACCGATATTATCGATGGGGACATACCAAGTGCATCACTCCCTAGTGCATCGCCCTTGAACTTTCCAACAATTCAGGAGAGGGGTGGCTTCGGTCATCCTTCCTCGGCATCTCCTCAGACTCGAACTTTACCATCTAGCTACGGTAATGGCCACCGAAGTAGTCTGAACTCGAGGCAACAGTCTGTGGACAGGAGAAAGAGTCACTCTTACGGGAGCCCAATGAGCAATCACGCGCCTCCCCCTCATCTTCCTCAAGCACATTTCTTCGGAGCACCAGACATGGATATCCTTCCAACTCAGAATCGATCACCCACCGAAGGAGGTTATTCATTCTGTAGCTTTGATACTTTGCCTAGCTTGTCATCTAAAGGTTCACGGACAGGGATAAACGTCTTGCTGGTTGGGACAGATGGCACAGTGGAGATCCTCGCCATCGAAGATCGCCGGACTCGGCTCGTGGGGCAAATCACTGGATTAAATGGTCGTGTAATCGGGGCCCAACTCTTGCCTGGCAATCCATCCAGCGACCCATTTGCATCGTCCCGACCGCATGTGGCTGTGATTGTTCATGGACCGTTGCCACCAAACGAGGAGGAAGGTCGAGTCTCGTCTGCAACATCGGAGGCAAATGAAATTCCTCCTTCGACGAATCGCGGTCACTCTAACGACAAGCGCTCAACCCGAGACGACAAGCGCTCAACCCGAGACGACGTTCAGTTCTACCAAACCAGAGTTGAAGTTTACTCTTTCCGGACCGGCGAACATGTCTCCACCTTGTTTGCCAGCAAACCTGTGCCATGCCTAGAAAGTTTCCCTGGCCTCCCGTCCTTTGCACCCTCGCCTGTGGGAAAGTTGAAGCTCTTCACGACCGGTGCTTATATTATTTTAGCATCCGGGGTCAGTGGAGAAGTCTATGTTTATAGACACGTTCTATCCCCAGATACACCTGCATACCAGTGTCTGGGTAAGACATGGACTGGAGTTCAGTCCAAAGAAACCCGGCGTTATTCGGCTTCTTCGAGTTCTACAACTGATCCAGAGGGGACTCCGTCCGACTCTCCTCGTGGTTCTTCTGCCTTGGAAAGACCCATCTTAGCTGTGCAAGGGAGATGGCTTGCATTCGCTCCCCCATCCTCGGCCTACAGGGGATCAATCCAGGGCACTGTGCCTTCAAGTGTGATCCTCGGCAAGGTGCCAGGTATTGAAACTCGCAATCCCCCAGCTGTCCCCTCGGTGTCGTGTGCGACAGATGTAGGTGAAGGGGAAAGTTTTTTCGATAAAATGGCAAGAGGCGTTGCCCAAGAACTTGTGAGAGGTGCCCGTTGGATGGGTGATCAGGGAATGCAGGCCTGGAACAATTATTGGAACACCCAGCAAACATCCGGCACCTCCCCACGTCGGCCACCTCAGGGACCAGACCCCCAGACACAGGGATATGGATTATTCCCTCCAACTCATGCACAGGATACACAAACATCAGCCACAGAACCTGACACTGTATCCATCATCGACTTAAGACGATTTGAAGACGGCACAGATATACGAAATGTGTTTATTCACCCGGTCTCGACGTTCCAGGTCCCTAATGGTTGCAGCTTCTTGTCTCTTTCTCCGAACGGCTTGATGTTGTTCACAGCGAGCAAGAAGGGCGATGTGCAATATGTGTGGGATCTCATGCAGCTCAAGCACTGTCGGTCCATGGCTTTTATGGCTGATGACCAGACGGGACAGAACCCAAATGTGCGCCAGATTGCTAGATACGCGCGGTTGACTACATCTAGTATTGTTGACGTGATTTGGACGGCGCCGGTGGGTGATAGATTGGCTGTAATTACACGTAAAGGCACCATCCACGTTTTCGACCTACCTCGAAGCGCATTTCAATGGCCCCCATTCCGCCGCGCAAAGCCTACTTCAAATAGGTCGCCGGCTGCTAACCCCATGGCCGATGAGGTGACTGGTCAGACCGCCAGTGGCAACCCATTGTCAGCGGCTATGAAGTTGGTTGGCGGTAAAACGCAACCATTTTTCTCCGCTGTTCGGGGTCGTGTCCCGTCCACGGGCGCTGCATTTCCCAATATGAGTGGATTTGCGTTACCTTCTGCAGCCAGTGTAAAAAGCGGGAAGGTTGTCGCTGCAGGCCTAAGCAAGTCAATGGGCGCCGCAACGGGTACGGTGAATACTTTGCGCCATGTCGGAGAGAACCGTTTACACTTGCCAGGGCTAGCTCGAGACCCTGCACCTTCCCGGGTGACGTGGATTTGCAGCAAGGGCCTCATATTCTTGGGTGTTATGGATGGCGGGTACTTCAAGATGTACCGCCTCAAGCGTGCTACTGTACCCGGCCACAAGAATCGACAGCCTCACTCTGTTGTCGGCGGTAAGGAGTCTCAGATCAAACTACCTGACAATCTCCAGGGTCCTTGTGGACCGGCTCCTTTGTCTGCCTTTGATCCAGAACTAGCTGTCCATGCCTCTCTTGTTCTTCCTTCGGTCAGCTCTCAGCCATCTAGTGCTGCACGACCGCTTTGCCAGCCTCTCTCGCAGGCTGAGATTGAGACAAATACCCCATACCAGCCGTTCCACACGGACCAGCGGGTTGGTTTGAGTGTCTTCTCCTCTAGCAGCGATGCAAGTGAGCCGAGTGGACAATGGGTGTTTGGCAATGACATCCCGCTGATCAAAGTGCACTTGAGGTCATTCAGCAGCTCCAGCGATGACCATGGCGATGACGAGGATGAGAACGCCGTCATCCATGGACATTCGCTTGGGGCTGGTGGTGATATAGAAAACCTTATCACTCTTGGAAACAGCACCGGCAATGTGGAGGAAGTTGTTATCACCACCCGCCGCAAGAAGAGACACTCCACTCCACTGAAAGCCGACGACGGTTTCTTTGAGGACGATTGCGAGGTGCTTGACTTTGCTCGGGACCGAGTCTGATCGACTCGACATTCCTTCTTTATCGTCTTATTTCTGCTCTACACTCTTTGCATTGATTTAGAAATTGTGTTCGCGCGGCGTCGCTGATCGCAATTGGAGTCTGGTGCTTCCTTTTTCCTCTTCTCTCCCATCCTTTCGATTTTATCTTGTTTTGACTTTTTACATACTAAACACTTGCATAAACCCATACTATCTATCTTTCTCTCGAGGTGGGTTGTTTTCGGCTTTCTGATTTCTTTGCTCTCGAATTGACCTTACACGTTTGATATCGTTCACCAACACACAAATACCCAAATACCCAGATCCAGCCCCGGACGTTCTTGGAGTTTTTTATGTTCTGATAGATGGGAGGCTCGGCATGATTTACAGCCAGGTTTGTCTCTCTTTTTTTTCTAAAGGCAGTGGGAGTGATATGCACCCTTTCAACAAGCCCTAAGCTAGAATGGAATACAATCACCAAGAAACAGATAGCTGCAAAGCACCAAAAAAAAAAAATACAACGTATTGCATGAATACATACTACGTAAAAGTGGCATTAGGAACGGGATAGGCAGCGTTAAATATGTATATTCCATCATTCCAAGGCTATTATAACACGATCTTACATACAATGACATATATATAGCCGCGACTCTTAACCAGCTACCGAACTCATGGCCTAGTTCTATGCAACGTGAGGACCATTTTGAAAGAAGTTCGCTTTTTTTGGCTCGTTCGCGAAGGTGTATACATATGTAGTTATTACACCTTCGCACCAGTTTCATCTAATACGGATGTTTTTAAAAGTAAATGATTTCATGAGAATTATCCACTGTATGCAATGGCATTCCTATTCGAATGTGGTATGAATCCTCCTATATCCAAAGAGCATCCAACGCCTGTCTCTATTTCATCACTCATCACTATCTTCAATAATTGGTCTGTTCGGTTTCGGACCTTTAGGTTTCGACCCACTACTAAACAAAAGGCTAGCATCCATGAGCTCAAAATCGGAGCCAGAATCACCAAAGTCATCACCTATGAAGGCAAAAGGATCGTTCTTCTGCTTGGGTTCATGTTCTGGAGATAACAAAGAAACAACCTCCCCGCCAGCGGGGTTTGCAGTGGCCTTGGTGGAAGTTCGCCGAGCAGTATTTTTAGACGGTGTCTTCAAGGGCTTTGAGTTGCGCCGAGGCTTCTTATTTGAATCACTCCGGACAGTTTGACTGGATTCGTCTGACGAGGGGGTTCGCGGGCCAAAATCTCTTTGAATCGATGGTCGCAGTCAGGGCCGGCGTCGTGCATCTTCTGTAAGGCTTTTACCATGCGTTGCGTGAGAGACCCATGCTTGACGTTCTTTGTGGGTCTTTCCATGAGTTGCAAACGTGGAAAGGCGTCGTTGCGAGGGAATCGGATGAACTGCGGAGAAGTGGCGCCGATGTTCTGATAATGATGTTCAAGATCATTTTGCTCACTCACGCTAAGGACAACATCCTCCACTGACGGAACATCCACAGGCTCGGGTGTGGGGGATCGGGGCCTCTTTTTGGGGGTGGCTGCTTTTCTGGGTGCAGTGGCTTTCTTCTTCTGGGGTTTGTCGCCATTCAAAGTCGAGGCTCGTTTAAACCCTGTCTCCACATCATCAGGCATGTGGAATACCTTGGCAGGTCGCTTTGGCGCTCTCCCTTTGCGTTTCGGCTCGGGGAGTTCTTGCTGCGAGTTCTCTGGGGGTATATCGATGTTTCGTTTATCAGGCACTGGACGGACGCCCGCGGGTAAGATGCGCGCAGAACGATCGTCGTGGAACGTGAACCGTGCGCCACTGGCAATCATTTGCTGCATCTTTTCGTAATTATCTTTCGCTTTGATGTAGGAGTCTTCTTCTTTGCCTTTCATCAATAGCAGAGTGATGTTACCAGCCCGCTTACGGCCAGTTCGACCCATGCGCTGCAGCATGCGAATGGGCGATGCCGACGAGTCATAGCACACGATCAGATCGACCTCTCCAATATCCAATCCTTCCTCGCCGATGGAGGTGGCAACGATCGTGTTGTATGTGCCTTTCTTGAAATCCTCAATAATTCTGAGCTGTGTTTTCTGGTCCATGCCTTCAGAGCCTTTGGCGCTTGATTGACCCACGAAAACATGAGGTCGAATCATGGGCTCGTATCTTTTGAGAACTCTCGTGACCTCTTCGGCACTATCACGGAAATGCACAAAGATCATGACACGGGTGGCAGGGTGACCAGTGCCGTCAGGTAACTCTTTCCCTTCCCCCTGTCCATAAAGTGATTCAAAATCACCGACTTCAGATATTCCAATTTCGGGTGGCCAATAAACTCTGGATTCTTACTCCATGGTTCAAGATGGCCAAGTAGTTTCTTGAAACTATCATCTTGTACAACTTGCTTTTGATATTTTCCACCTCCGCCTTTCTGTCCCTCGGAGCTTGATTTGAAATGAATGACATGGCGATAGAATGGCACGATGCCGTGGTACTTGAGGAGATCGATAGCGTGGGCCAGGCTAGCAAGAACAGTGAAAATGGAGTTGACTTTGCCCTTCAAGCCGAAATGGGCATTCCGACCAGCGTCGGACTGCATCCATTGTTGCCTCGCCACCGTAAGACCATACGCAGTCAGTCCCATAGGGTCACGTCCCCAGTAGGCGTTGAGAGTCCGGAGTTGGTCAAGCAAGGGCTGCAAGGCAGCAGACATCAGGTCCATACAGAAAATCATTTCATCTGAATTCTCGAATGTTTCGATTTCGATATTGCGAGCGTGAACGTACTCGCGAATGTCAATCGAGTTCTCCGTCCGGATTTCGACACGTGCTATGTCCAGGCCATCAATAACCGCCTGTACCGATTCGACTGTTGATCCCGGCGTTGCTGTGAGTGCGAGCACGCGGAAACTGTTGTTGAAGCGCCGAAGGAATTTGACCACCTCCACGTATGCATACGCACCCGTCGCGCGATGAGCTTCATCAACGACCAACAACACGATTCGCTTGGGATCGGCGATTCCGGTCTTCAGGTCGTTGATCAGTGTTTGGGGTGTCATGAAAAACACCCGCTTTGATTTCCACTCTTCGGCGCGAATCCCCGGCGATGCCCCTCCTGTGAGCATGGTCGACTCCGAACGTGGGATTCCGGCAATATCCAAGCAGGCCGATACCTGCTGCGAAACCAAGGGTTTCGTTGGTGCTACAAAAATAATTTGTGAATCTTTCGTCCAGCGAAACCAATTCAGCATAATTGTAGCTGCTATGAATGTCTTTCCCAAACCCGTTGGCAAGGCCACGAGTAGATTATGAAACAGGCCTGCCTGAGTAATGTTGAACTGGTAATCTCTAGTTTTACCCAAATTCGTGGGGTAGACCCATGTATGCAAAGCATCTTTAACAAGTTTGTGTTGCGTTGGTGGTTCGGTCTTCTCTGGTGGGCCCCAGTCTTGTTGACGCGGTATCAAGACCTCAGGGTTTGGAGCAACCATGCCGAATAATGTGCTCTGTTTGAGGTGTGGTTGTCGAATTGGGCCTCGGGATTGACTGAAATGTGGGGTTGCAGAATGGACTGGTCGTGCTACTGGTGATAATAATGGCGAAGAATCAAATGCACCTTCAGGTATGTCCTCCAGCTCAAACGGAACATCCGGCAGGGCATGCGTGTCTTCCTTTTCCGACGGGGCAAGCTTTTTGGGAGCTGTATTGTTTGATAAACTTTGGGGTTTGGATACCGCCCTGGTTGTTTTCTCCTCCTCAAATGAATCTATTGAAGCTGCAATAGCGGCCATCAACTCCTCATCATCATGGATATGATTCCTGTCCTGTCCGCCGCCACCACCATCACCATCTTGCAACCTGGTTTCAAATTTTGCCGGGGGAGGTTTTGTAACAGGCTTCTGCCATCGCGGACCTCGTATTCGTTCCGGGCTTGAGGAGGGCTGGGTGAGTTGCGTGACGAACATGTCATTTTGGACACTCGCTTGCTTCAGTACACAGCTCTTATTTTTGGGACGATCCTGGTATTCTTCAAAGCCATGAGGTGATTCTTGCCGTCGTGAGGGCAAATCATCATCCTCCATTTCAGAGAATGAGTCGATCGAAGAGCCGTCATCTTGACCTTCGCTCTCTTCCCCGCGATTTCGAACGCGGCGGCGTTTTGCGGGACGGGAGGGGCCATCGGGGGTCCCAGGGACTACGAAGTCGTCGTCATCGAAGTAATCCGACTCGGAATCTGTCGACATCGCGTGGATAGTTGAAGGGCATTCGCATTGCACTACGGAATGGTCGTCGCGTCGCGTCGCGTAGTCAGGTGATGGGGCTATGTTTGTATGGTTTGCACTGTACCCTTGTGTATGCAACTAAGCAAGTCTTTGAATGCACTTCATCTCTTGAATGGCCGAGCCTAGCGTGTTTATCATATTGAACATGTGCCTAGTCTCATTGCCCCTCATGTTCTGTTTTGATATTCCACCTGACAAAAGGTAGCCCTATCATTGATTATTGTGTACAATGTACTCTGTCCGGAGTAACTAGTTACTAGTTAGCTAACTACTGACAATCTCAACACTTGTCTTTCCTATTCTTTGTGACTTTCAAGGTTCTCCTGCCAAGCCCTATGAGCCAATAGGAGTTGGCAATATAGTACAGTGAAAAAGAAATTGGTCCCTTACTCACACGCTAATGTCTGAAGTCAATCAATACTGTCCAATTTGACAGTTCCTTTGTCCCCCAGGGTCTCAATTTGCGATAAAACAGAAACCCCCTTCCTAAGGGGGAAAAGGGGAGATTATCCTGCATGATATCCTTGTCCGGGGAAGTAAGATCATCGTCGTGCATCACCTGGATGGACTTGGTCAATTGAAGCCAAAGCGCCAACTCTAACTTCCTCAGATTAAGTCTGAGACATCAAAATGGGAATTTGTGGTATATCTTTTTCGTCACTGGAGTTTGTTTTGAGGAAAAGTCAGTCCATGTCAGGGTCAAGGGTGTCCGTTTGCTTGGTGGGCTTGTTATCAATAATGTTTTAATACTTCGCTGTTTGCTCTTCTCCCACCCTACATCTCTGTCACTCTTTTCTTCAATACACTGTCACTTCTTACCAACAAGTTTTCATCTCTTAATACACTTTCACTCAGCATGAAGTTCAGCATCCTTGCTCTCTCGGCCTTGCTGGCTTTTGCCGCTGCCGCAGACACTACCACCGTGAACCCTTCAATCATCACCACTACTCCCGAGATCGAGTGCACAAAGAGCTGTAAGCTATCCTTTCTCATTCTTGCCTTAGCTTGATACTGACCCAGTTCAACTCTAGGCGAAGTCACGGATATCTGCTGCACAGCCAAGTGCTACCACGTGCCCTGCCCCAGCGATAACCAGGTAAATGACACCAACGACTGTGTCTCTGGCTGTCCCCAGGGTACTGGCTCTCCGGCCGACATTCAGAAGTACACCGAGTGTGAGCAGTCCTGCTACAAGTCGCACTTCTGGGGTGGCAGTGGCAGTGGTGCAACTGTTACCCACTCTTCCACCACCTCCACTGGCACCGGCAGCACTGCCACACGGACTAGCTCCGACTCGTCAAGCACTGATTCCAAGTGTATGTCTATATTCATTTTTGTTGATACGGAACTCTGCTAACATCAGCCTTCAGCTTCGGGCAACAACGACAACAACGGCAACAACGGCAACAACGGCAACAACGGCAACAACGGCAACAACGGCAACAACGGCAACAACGGCAACAACGGCAACAACGGCAACCATGATAAGAACGACAACCATGACTCCTCCTCCTCCTCCTCGGGAACTGCTACCAGCTCCTCTGGATTCTCACAGCAGACCGCCAACGCCAACGCTGCTGCTAATGCCAATCTCGGTGCCTCCGCTGCTGGCCTCTTCGGCTTGGTTGTTGCTGCCTTTGCTCTGTGAGCAAGATGGATTAGGTATTCGGCCTACCACCTTGTAATTCGGCACAGTAATACGGGAATATCCCTGATCTGGATCTATGAGGTCCTGCTGACCATGTCACATAATTTTACTTTCTTCCGTGTGATATGGAGCCAGCCTTTCTTTTGAATGGAATGATAATGATTTTCAAATAATTTTCAACCGGTGGACTCACATTCAACCAAGATCCTGTAAAATAATCTCTCAACAGTTTATTGGTCCTCACCAGAATGCGTTCGTTGCAGGTCAGTCCCCGCGAATTTGACACCCCACATGTACAATATAGGGACCTGCCTATATCTTCAATAAATATTTAGCTGTTTACACAATGCCACGGATACACAGGTTGCATACAACGTAGGATTGCAATATGCGTCCCGTGGCTATCTCCCCAGGTATGAGTTCATTCATTCACCGCCAAATTTGTTTACTGCGGGGGAAATTCTGTGTTTTTCTTCAAAATATGGTGCTGTTGCCTGAGGATATAGCAACCAATAGTTACCTTGCTATAAAAGTCCAACTTGCCCCGTTGGCCTAAGTCCTGGGTACCATTCAGTTCGTATCATCGGACCGAAAAATTCCCCAATCCCCCAACAACCGGATTGAAAGCACCCACAATGGATGATACCAGCGAAGAATTCCAAGCGCTCTTCAGCGAGATGTCCGCTTTCGTGACAGACTGCATGTCAGGCCACGACCCATCTCATAACCCGGCACACGTCCACAGAGTGGGAGCGCTCGCCAACAAGATCCTAGAAGCAGAGCGGGCACTGCACCCGGCAACACAATACAACGGGGCAGTTGTCAAACTTGCAGCACTGTTGCATGACATTGGTGACAGGAAGTACCTTTCAAAGATGAATGCAGCTCCTGGAAGCGAAGAACTCGACCCAACGACGATGGTGCAGCATGCCCTCCTTGCGCGGGGTGCGACGCCAGAACTCGCATCCAGGGTGCAGAAGATTGTGTCACATGTTTCTTATACAACTGAATGCAAGGATCCGGCATTGATCCGAAGGATGATTGATGAGGATGGGTTCGTCGAGCTTGGCGTTGTCCAAGACGCTGATCGACTTGATGCTATCGGGGCTGTTGGAATTGGCAGGTGTTTTACCTTCCTTGGAGCTGTAGGGAAGAAGTACTGCGTCGATGGGAAATGGGAGATGGATAATTCCATTGAACATTTTGGGGACAAATTAGTTAAGCTGGAAGGGATGATGAAGACTGCCACGGGGAGGGAGATGGCAAGGGTACGGACTGAGAGGTTGAATATATTTGCAGGGTGGTGGCAGCAGGAGATAAGTCTCGCTTCTGGATCTCCTTAAGAGACTGAAAATCTCATTTTACATACATCCATGGAAATTTATTCTCTCCAATACTTGCAAAAGGCCCTGAAGATCCAACAATCCGATACTAATCTGACTTTCCTACTAAGAAGATCTTGCAGAGTGAGCGTATTTCATACAATAAATTCAGAATCAAAGTTAATCAAAGTTAATAAAGAAGGTTTCAATACCCATATCTGTAGCTATACGTTTGTGTAGTCTTTTATCGTCTTTGTATAGATGTTGTCGAAGTTGATAATATTGCGCTTGTTATATATATCACGTACTGCCACGCACGAAATATGCACGCACCTCATCCGCCCAAGATCAACACCGCCATTCATCAAGCAACAGGTATACAACCAACCTTCGCAACCATGGCTGATGCACAATTTGACAGCGCGCTGTGAGTAACCCATCTCGCCACCAATATCGCACTACAGACCCCTTTGCCCCCCAACCATGACACCCGCCTTGACAATCCCAAACCCCGAGACAACCCCGCCCCATGCTGTCGGAGACAAGTGAGCTGACCACCCCTTCTGCAGCGACCTCCTTCGGCGCCTAAACCCGCGGGATACCAAGACCAACTTGCAAGCGATTACCTCAATTGTCCCTGAACTCACCGAAGACCTCCTCTCCTCCGTTGACCAGCCCCTGGAGATTCGCCGCTGCCCGCAGAGCAACCGCGACTATCTACTCTGCGACTACAACCGCGACGGTGATAGCTACCGGTCACCATGGAGCAATGAGTTTGATCCTCCGCTTGAGGATGGTACCGTGCCCAGTGAGCGAGTGCGCAAGCTCGAGGTTGCCGCCAACGAGTCGTTCGATGTTTACCGCGAGCTGTACTATGAGGGAGGTGTGGGGAGTGTGTATTTCTGGGATTTGGACGATGGATTCGCCGGCGTGATTCTATTGAAGAAGGGTGCGTTATGGACTGACTACGGGTTACTTTCTATGTTTTGGATTGCTAACTGTGTCTCTTGATTAGGTGTCACCCCGGGTTCTCAGAGCTCCGGCGAATGGGACAGCATTCACGTTTTCGAGGCCACCGACCGCGCTCGCATGTCCCACTACAAACTCACTAGTACCGTTATTCTCCACCTGGCCAACAAAACCGAGGCTCTTGGTGATATGGACCTCAGCGGGAACATGACTCGCCAGGTGGAAGTTGACCTGCCTGTGGAGTCGGATGCTAGCCATGTTGCCAATGTGGGCAGGCTGGTGGAGGATATGGAGTTGAAGATGCGAAACTTGCTGCGTATGTTTCCTTGTCTCGTCGCCATTTAATGGCTTGGGGAGTTTGTGCTGACCTAGGCTTTTACACCACAGAGGAGGTTTACTTCGGCAAAGCGAAGGATGTCGTTGGCGAGCTCCGAAGTAAGTGGATGCACATAATATCTATGCCGTTGCAATATGCTAACATGAACCTAGGCTTGGGCCCATTGTCTGATGCGAACAGAGACCGGGAAACCCAGCGGGAAATGATCATGTCCATGCAGAAGTAGCCATGTTTACTGTTCCGACAAATATCCTGCTCGGCTAGGCCGATGAACTATACCTGTCGTTGCGTTTTCGTTTTGTATAGCGTAGTTCTGTGAATATCCTCGAACACTCATCCATACACATTTTGCGCCTAGGATTGGTTACATATGTACTTGGCACTCTGTAAATATATGTATCATCTTCCAATGGGACTCATTGTATCCGTAATTTCCATGCTAGTGGCAGGATATAGCCTGGGGTATCATAAACGCATCAATCAAAACCAACCAATCGCGCCGAATTAGCAGATAGCACACCATTCAATCCACCTGCATGTCCTCCGGTTGATTCGCTGGCCTAGAGTCCTTATTTGTCTCGGAAGGCTTCTGCATCTGCTCAACGAATTGACGAGCAGCCGCCCACAACTCAGCCTCCTTATCTTTTCCAACTGTATCCTTCCGGCTATTGAGTCGGCTGATATCCAGTGAATTTGGAGCTCGCGATTTAGCTCCCGCGACTCCTTCGTTTCTGGCTCCAGCTTTTGTGTCCCCTGCGCGTGAGGTCCTCTCGGGCCCTACGAGAGATGATTCCTCTAGGGAGTAGATCTGGCGGCGGAGGGAAACGTCGGCTGAGGAGAGAAGCGCGAAGTATTTTGCGCTTGCTTCTTTGAACCGTGTTTTGTGCGAGTCGAGTGATCCATCTGGTGCAACGGAAGAGGGACCCGGTTTGGCGTTGGTCAAGGCTTGGATCGCGAGACCAGCAGATTCAAGAAGTTTGGTAATATCCTAAGGAATAAGTATCAGTAAATGGTTCCTCATAATTTATATGACCGTAGTACCTTGTCCATATCATTCAGCTGTCGAATGCGATCGGCGGAGGTAAAGCCAGGTAACTCTTGCGGCGGTGCGTCTTCTCCCATGCTGACTGGTTGGGGTTATACGAAGGGGAAAAAATTAGATAGCTGCTCTGTACGGTTTAATTCCACCGGCCTTTCGATTCTCCAACAAGAGATCGAGATTGCCGTGGAGATTGGGATGGTTGTTGGTTGCGATCACGTGCTGTAAACTGGGGAGGTCTTAATAAGCGGTGAGGTAGCGGGCCCAGCTCGTCGGGATATCAAATTCAAGATATCAAATCCACTAACTATTCTATTGTTGAACGCTCAAAGTCCCATATACCTGTGGGCACTATATACATTAGACAAACACTGATAGGTGACCGCCTAAGTCCACCATATAAATCGCCGGCCATTGTACGCAACCCAGCTCTGTTGCCATCCTCCGCCGCGATTTGAGGTTTGAAGTTGTCGATTAGTCGTCGATTATGTCGGCACCAGGCGGGGCCCCAAGCCCTGGACCACGCAGTGGCAGTATGGGACCAGGTGTAAACGGAAATGGGATGGCGATGCCTTCCCAGCAACCATTACCTGGAACTCCCGTTCATTCTGCACCGACTCCAGGGCCCAGTGCACCACCAAGCGGTGCGATGTCACAACAGAATTTGAACCAAATAGTAGGTACCGCTGTGATTTATTTATGCGTTGTTCGAGAAGTTCTCCTCGTTCCCCTTGATTGTCCCTTTGCGATGATTGTTCTTGGCACGATATGCCCGTCCTATGTGTTTCGGAATCAGCCGAGTTTGAGAGGCTTGATATATGGCGACGTTTCCACTGGATCCCCCAGAACGTGATGATGGAGATTCAAGACAGAGGTCTCTAGGGCGTTTTGCCTCAACGCCGACGGTATTGAAGATGCCACGAGCCCTGGAGCACCCTGTTCATTATCTATTGCAGCTCTTGGATGATGATCGATGTCCATGGTTGAAACCCCAAGTGCGCACGACAATGTCGGCCATTTGGTTGATACGACAAAGCCAGGAACTCCTCGTCCATTAGTCACTACTGCCTATGTATGATGACGGAAGTCCATGACGGAGGACCGTGCGGGTTTCTCTGCAATGCCGACAATATGGTTCATTTCACAGACCTCGAAGAGCGTTGGTACCTAGCTGCCGTTGCCTAGAACGAATTCAGGGCATGTGACTGAGAAACCGAGGCATCCCAACTCAGAGTCATCCACGATTGTCTTCACCCGGTTCTCATCAACAACCATTCTTCACACTTTCACGATTATCATTTTCCTGTCAACTCATACTTTTCTTTCATCTTTA